GATACCGAAGAGGCATTTGTTCTAGTCCAGGCTCTTTTGGTTTTAGGAAATAAAAATGCATTCAAGCTGGCTCAGGTGAAAAGAGGATATCTTGTTTGTTTTTTGAGATGTAGTCTTGCTCTGTCACCCAGGCTGGAGTGCAGTGGCATGGTCTCGGCTCATTGCAACCTCCACCTCCCCGGTTCAGGCAATTCTTATGCCTCAGCCTCCTGAGTAGCCTGGATTACAGGTATGCGCCACTGTGCCTGGCTAAGTTTTATATTTTTAGTAGAGATGGGGTTTCGCTACATTGGCCAGGCTGTTCTTGAACTCCTGACCTCAAGTGGTCTGCCTTCCTTGGCCTCCCAAAGTGCTGGGATTACAGGCATGAGCCATTGTGCTGGACTGAAAAGAGGATTCTTGTAAAGGCTCAGGGATCAATAGAGCAGAGGTTGCTGTGAGCCAGGTATCACAAGAACAAGAATGGAAAAGTGCTTGGGAATGGGTGTGACTTTCTCTCTTCCTATTAGATGTGCTCTTTCTTTTTCTCTGTGAATCTGCCTCATTGCTTCCTTTTGCAAAATGGCTTCCTCAGCTTAGCCACCTGATTGCTCATGGCCCACCACTGATGGCCCCATTCCCTCAGCCCCATTTTTTCTGTCACAGACTTTCTCCTTCAAAGGAATTCATGGACTAACCAGAGACCTAAGACTTGTGTGACCAATGCATTGACCCCTCAGGGTCCGCAGGGCCTGCCACAGTCCAGTAACTGGGTCTGGAACAAAGGGACAGGGTATCTTGGAAGAAGCGGGAGTCTCTGGCCGACATCTTGGAAGGTGTTAGAGGCACACAGAATCCACATTTGGCAGAATGCCCAATGGCCATTGCTTGAATCAGTATTCTACGAAATCGGAATATCTGCATATTCAAAAGAACTTTTGGTTATGAGAAAAGAATCCAAATTTCATGAAAAAAGGGATTATTATAATTTTATTGTTCAAAAGTAATAATTGTAGCAGATGCTATTTTTGCCACATCATATACCCTCAGACCACCTAATTTCAGTTGCAGCTTTGGAAAAGCTTCCTGTGCTCAGTATCAGTGTCACATATCAGGCCCCTAAGATCTGTGCTGTGTGTGCGTGTGTGTGCGTGTGCGTGTGTGTGTGTGTGTGTGTTGGGGGTGGAGGATTAATGACTCTATGGCAACTCTCACCATTGGGTGCATTGGGTGATGGAAGTCAATCGTTAATGCCCAGCCTTCTGATCTGCAGAGGCTCAGTTCAGAGGTGGCATTCTACATATCTCCTTAGTGGGTGTCCAGTAGGATTGAGCCCCAGTTTTACATATTGGTAGTCAGCTCACTGCTAATTTCCTATTGCTGGCTTTTCCTCATTCTCTGTCTCACTCTTCTTACTCTCTCACTCCTGCTTCCTGAAATTGCCTCTAAAATAAAATATCTGTCCCCAAATTATTATCTGAGGCCCTGCCTTTGTGGGAACCCAGATTTAAAAATTTTGTATTATAGAGGAAGGACAGAATTTTGTAGCAAAGTCAGTTGCTGGGTCACTCTTAGACTCATTGTTCTGCCTATTCCTAACACTAAATAGATGTTCTGTTTCGGCTGATAGAGATTATATTCACATCATTGCCTGTTTGGATCAGAGGCCTCTCAAGGGAGCAGATTAGACTTCGAAGAAACCAACCACAAGAAGGAAATCTTGTAGACGAAAGCTTTCTGAGAAACCCCCTCCCATCTTTCTCCTCTCCTTTGTCTTCATGTGCAACTTCCTCCTCTCCAGTGTGAGCTCAGGGCTCAGGCCAGGTTTCCTCCTGTTGGAAGGTTGCTGGGGTGTAGACTGTCAGTCAGCAAATAAAAAGAGCTATGAAATCGTGACCATTCTCCAAAGAGTTAACTCTTCTGTGTGAGACTAACGCAGAGGGTAGAATGGATGTGATTAAAAATTTTTGTCAAATCCACCTAGGCTGTGACAGAATTCTTGGTCAGTCATGAGTCAGAACATACAATGTATTTTTGCCTAGAAGCAAAGCTCCTCATGGTACATAGGGAACCAGGGAGGGTCGCAAAGACCTATTTGACCTTCAAGCGGTCTGATTATAGCAGCCAACACAACATACCAATAATGCAGCCCCACAAGACCCAGGGATCCCATACGACATTGCTCTCTTGCCTCCAGAGACATACAGTGGTCCACCCAAAGCCTCATATCTCTAACGATTTTTTTCCACAGAATGTTACCATGTTACCTACCATGCCTCAGGCATTGCGCTAAATGCCCGGGCTACAAAGATGCACAGAGATTCCTTACCTTGAAGATTCAAGACCTGGGGCACAGAATGGCCAGAGGCGCAAGACAGCTCACGGAGAAGGAACGAAAAGTCCAGCACCTGAGATGAGTATTCAAATGCAAGTATGCAAGGGGCCTTGGGGTGGGGGCATTATCTTTTCATGCTCCGGAAAGGCTCCAGAAGAAAGTGAGGTGTGTGTGAGCTTGTTCTTGAAGGAACAGAAGTTTGCTCAGGCAAAGATGTAGAAAAAGCTTTCCCAACAAAGGGAACTACGAAGGTAGAGAGGCGTGAGGGGCCTGGCAGAGCCAGAGACAAGCAGACAGCTTGAGAGTGGCGGCTGCTAGCGAATGGTGGCCTGCTGACAGATTGTGCTGGGGCCACAGAGCGGTTCTAAACTGGAACCACACTTAGGAATGGAGATATTTTTATGAAAAGGTCCAGATGTTCTGTTTCTCTTGAAAAAAAAAAAAATAGCGAAACTGACCTCCTGCTGGAGATCCACTTTAGACTGGAACTGAGAAGTGACTTCCCCCTTCAGCAGGGGTCAGTGCCTGCCAGTACATCACCGTGTCCACCGCAACCCTGGATTCAGACTCACTTGTGGTCATTCATGCTTTCATCAAGCAGCTGCACTAATTCAGATGACCCACTTCACTCTAGGAGGTGTTTGACTTTTCAACCTCTGGGTAAGCATCATTGGATACTAAAGAGAGAGGAGGGGGAAGACTGGCAGAGTTCTACTGGCAACTGTGGGAAGGCATTACCACCCCAGTACTGAAGGGGCAAGTGGAGGACGTGGTGTCCTGAAGCCCGGTGGGAGCGGGCCTGGGGAGTAGGGGCCCAGGGAGCCTAGCCTTGGGGACACAGTTGCTGCTAGGGAGGCAGCATTGGAGCAGGGAGGGAGCGAGGATGACAAACCCCCATGTCTCTCCTCCTACTCCCACTCCGATCTCCTGCCAGTGCCTCCCACTGGCTGAACTGGAAGCAAGAAGACAAGAGAGCCCCAGGGAGGCAGCCCACAGGGGTCAGCTTCTGGGCACAGGGTAGAAATGGGGAGAATGGAACTGGGAGTGGCAAATGACCGGCACACGTAGGCACCTAAGGAGTGGAAAGCGCCAGAGAAAGCCCTCTCCTGATGAGAGTCACTGGGGATGTGGTCCCTGTGTGGGGACCATCCTTAGGATGGCTCTGATGTTAGGAGATGGGAGGTAAGGGGATTGAGCAGGGCCTGAGATCCCCCTCGATCACTGGGAAGCCCTGGGAGGACAGAGGCTCAAGTCTGGGCTCACAAAGATTATTCCAGAAGGGTGCAGTGGGAGGTGGAGGCTTGGAGCTAAATAGGGGTAACCCATGGACTCATAGGTAGGAGACCATGGTCAGATGCCCCAGGTCTTCTGGCTCATGCTCTAGTTCACCAGGAGACCCTCTGGGCCCTGGTTGGCACCCACCTCTGTGTGATTACTTTGGAGTTAGGAAGCACATTTGCCCGGAGGACAGCCAGAGCCAGCAGGCAGCTCCGACAGTGAAACAGAAGCTTCTACTGAAACAAAATTAACCTGTCTCCTGGACTTGCCCCTTGAGGTCAGACCAAACCTCCTTATGTCTGAAGACAGTTGTCCTCACTCCTCTGGGTCATTAACCACTTGTAAAGGTGATGTCCTGAGATCATCAACCCCTGGGTTTGGTCCCATTTGATACTGGATCTATGAAAATATTTCTCATGAGCACCTCCCACCTCCCAGCTTCTTTTACCTTGAAGGTCAGTGGGGCACATGGGGAGGGGGGCCTCCCTTGAGCTGGACAACATATTGATAGCATTTAGGATCACACCAGATTTTTTTTATTCCAAGAATCAGGCTGTGCTTACGAGATTTATTTCACAACCCTGGGCTAAATCAGTGGAAATTAAACAGAGAGGCACAGGAGGCTCAGAAGGAAACAGTAACATCCCAGGGTGACACAGTCAGCAAGAAGTAGGCTGTAGTGAAACCCACTACAGCCTTTGCCTCCAAGCCTCCTCCCACCACAGGGGCTCTGGACCTCTGCACTCTGGTTAGGGGGCTCCTTGCACAAGGGCTGGTGGGAGAGTCATGCTGCAGTGGAGGGGCGTGGCTGTTTGCTCTGATCTGGTAGGACACGGTTTAAGTGATGCTGGCTCCTCACAGCCCAGTTCTCCTGGGATGTCACATGTCCAGAATCCCTTTCTGCAGTGTACAGGACCAGCAGCTGAACGCCCAGCCCCAGGTTGGTGGAGATGTCCTCTTGCCCAGCACTCAACTTCACCTACCTCCCACAGGGCTTCCCCTGCAGGTCTTGGGATGGAGGTCCTTGTGGACTCTGGGTCCCAGGCACCTGTGCAGATGCACAAGCCTGAGGCTTCCATTGGAGCAGATGGTCCTGGACAGTGGTTTCCCCTTCCTACTTTCTCTCTTTCCCTTTCAGCATAAATGCCCAACTTTCTTTTATTTCCAAGTGTAAAATTTGGCTCCTAAAAAGCCACTGCCTTGAGAGGCCAAGGCGAGTGGATCACTTGAGGTCAGGAGTTAGAGACCAGCCTGGCCAACATGATGAAACTCCATCTCTACTAAAAATACAAAAGTTAGCCAGGCGTGGTGGCTGGTGCCTATAATCCCAGCTACTTGGGAGGCTGAGGCAGGAGATTTGCTTGAACCTGGGAGGCAGAGGTTGCAGTGAGCTGAGATCATGCCACTGTGCTCCAGCCTGGGTGACAGAGTGAGACCCTGACTTGAAAAAAAAAAAAAAAGCCACTGCCCACTTGTGCCTGACCTATGACCTCAAGCACCAGCCACAAGGCACTCCTTACAGGAGTACCCACAGGAGATTTCTCACTTCTCTGCCTTAGGCGATCCCACTTGAGAGGAGGCCCAAGCTTCTGTCTCCCCAGAGGTGAACATCTGCTGGATATTAAGGAATCTCCTTGAGGATGGGTGCGCTGGGTGAGCACCAGGTACTCTTAGCTCCAGGCATCACTTCTTCCATGCCACCTGCCCCCTGGGGCCTGGTGTATTCGAAAGGGGAGTAGGGTATGGATTAGAATCACCTGGAGAGATTTTTAAAGTGCTGCTTAAGGTCCATCCCCATGTATTCAGATTCCTTATTGATCTTGGGTGACAGACACCACCCTATGAAACAGGCATCGCTAGACACAGCTTCTGTGACTGCAAGCAATTCACTCCTGACTTCTGGAGGTGAAAGGCTGTGGCAGAAACCTCAGAGCCTGCTGGAAGTAGCAAGTCCTGCAGAAGGCAGTTGTGGAAGAGGAATTTCAGGAGTCAGGGGGAAAAAGTGCTGGTAGTGAAGCTCTGAGCTAGAGAGGAAGCAAGGCAAGGGTTTTATACTCAAATGTCCCCAAACAGAGCCAGGCATCAGTCAAGGCAACCAGAAAAAATAGGGGTCTGAAGTTTGGGCCAACAGGATCCAAAAAGCCTGGACCCAAAGCATCCAGAACATGGCTTTCAAATTGTCAACTGCAAGTTACCTGGATGAGGAAAGGTCTGGCTTGATTCAAAGTTGATGGGTGCTTTTTCCTGGGATGGCTCCTTCTCACCCCAGACAGTCCAGTGCACCTGACCAGGACAAGGGACAGTCACCGGACCTTGGTTCTGGCAGGCAGGCAGCCTTGGCAGGTAGATGGCTTAGAAATTGGGAAAGAGGAGAAAAAATGGGGACTAGTGAAAAATCCCACTGGTTAGGAAGAAGGCCTGGAGATGTCTCTGAAGACTAAATGGGGTCATGAGGAGGAAGACCAGGTTTGGGTAGGAAGTCTCCCCACTCTCTTTCAAGAGGTAGGGAAAGAGTTTATTGAGGGCCAGATGCCAGGCCAGGGAGCTTGGGAGGAAGAATTGCTTGAGTTTCCATCTTTCTGCAAGTTTGGCTGATCCTAAGACCTCTGGGGTCTGGACAGCAAGCTCCACATGCTCGTCCCTCTCTACAAAGAGCAGAACTTTCTTTGGGGCCCAGGATTTTATACTATGCAGCAACGATTTCACTCTCCACTTTTCCGTGAGCGCTTCTTATGTTGCACATGTGGATCCCACCCATGGGTTAGAAGTACAGAGGCCCGGCCGGGCGCGGTGGCTCACGCCTGTAATCCCAGCACTTTGGGAGGGTGAGGCAGGCAGATCACAAGGTCAAGAGATTGAGACCATCCTGGGCAACATGGTGAAACGCCGTCTCTACTAAAAATACAAAAATTAGCTGGGTGTGGTGGCACACACTTGTAGTTCCAGCTACTCCGGAGGCTGAGGCAGGAGAATTTCCTGAACCCGGGAGGCGGAGGTTGTAGCAAGCCGAGATTACACCACTGCACTCCTGCCCGGGTGATGGAACAAGATACCATCTCAAAAAAAAAAAAAAAAAAAAAAAAAAAGGGCAGAGGCCTTACTATGGGTTTGTAAGATCCGGTTGACTGTTTTAGAACAATTCCTTATAATTACAGACTGGGTGGTGGGGAACAGGGGCGGGTGAGCCCGGTGGTGGTTGGGGGTATGGTGGGAGATGGACAGATCTATTTTTTTCCTTCAACTAGGCTGAGCGGAGAAGATCCTTCATTCAAGGCTACGCTTTCTGATGGCTATTACATTTGAACTCCAAGAGGTAAATTGTGTTTCACTTCTTCTGCAAAGCCTCTTCAAAGCTTTTCCATAAAACTGTAGCTCAACACTAAGTTGTCCTTTCACTGAGTCCCGTAGCATAGTAGTTCTTAAATTTGAGCATCAGCCAAGCGCAGTGGCCCACGCCTATAATCCCAGAACTCTGAGGTCAAGGTGGAGGATCGCTTGAGTCCAGGAGTTTGAAACCAGCCTGGAAAACACAGGGAGACCCTGTCTCTCTACAAAATTAAAAAATATTTAAAAATTTTGAGTATGTATTAGAATCACTCAGAGGGCAGAAAGAGTGTGGAGCACCCTCACAGTATAGTAGGTCTGGGCTGGAGCCCAAAGAATTGCATTCCTAACAAGTTCACAGGTTATACCAATGCTGCAGGTCTGGAACCATGCTTTGAGAACCACCACTGTTAACATATATTCTCTACCTTATAATTTCATGGCTTATTTGTATTGTCTAGAAATAGTCCGGAATTATTCTCAGCATATCTGTCTGTCTTCTCCACCAGATTTCAATTCCTGCAGTGGCAGAGATTGTATATTTTCCACCACATCAATTAGCATTATTGGACACATAGTCTACTAAGTACTTATATACTGGGAAGAGCTTCAGAGAACTTGAATTCTTCAAGAAGACAGGGATCAACTGTGGTTAATTATAGGATTTCTACATTTTGTAACAGATCATCTAATTTTTCCACATCAATCACATTTGCAGAGAAAAGTCTTCATTTTCTTGAGCAGTATCCTAATCTCATTAAAGAAACACTCCAGTCTTGACTTAGGAAAAAAAATTTATTCCTTCATCCTTCCAAATAAGGTACAGTACAACTGAATAACAATGCACATTACTGAAAAACACAATTGCATCTTATATTGCTCACTACTCTTGAAGTATAATTCAGATATTAAGGAAAAGAACTGCTAATCACATGAACACATTACAGAAATCAAAATTAACTTACCACACAAAATAAATTAAAACATTAAATATTAACCTTTTCAGTGCAACATATACAGATGTCAGAGTAAGGAGTTCTAAAAAAAAAAAGCATCAGGTTTATTATAATAAAGATAATGAAAAGTTGACCATTTTAGTAAATTATTAAGACTAGGAAGAGGAGTTGCTTTTTCAGTACTCTCTCTCTCTGCGTGTGAACCATTAGACCTTTCAGAAAGCCTGGTAAATCAATGGCTAGGGAGAACAGGTCTTATGTTAGAACACTTAAAAATATACACATGCTTGTCTTACTTCTGCAACGTCCTCTTGGTTTTGGGCATTTGAGTCATTCCTCCCTCCGTGACTGGGCAGGTAGGAAGAGATCAAAGCCCAGAACCAACTAGAGGGCAGAGGTCTCCTGAGCAGTGTTAGAGCCTCATTAGTCCATCCCGGCCAAACTGACTGAAAAAGCAACTGATGACCCATGTGCCCTGGAAAACCTGGCTTGAAGACAACAGACAGTTTTCTGTACTCGCAAAACACAATTCCTTGAGAAGCTCCAGAAGCACAAATTCTCCTCCCTTACCAGTGTGGGTGGGTGAGTGTCAATCCCACCTTTTCCTCCTTTCTCAGGAAAAAGGACTCCAGGGCCATTCTGCCCATCTCTCCCGCAGGGACACAATGGCCAGCGCATCCCTGGCTGGGTTCCATGTGTGTCCAGCTGGGGCCCTGTCTTCCAGATCAGGGTTGGCTGCTGTCTATCTTTCCATGTAGAAGAAAACATTTCCTGCCAGGATGCTTAAACAAAGTCACAGCCTGTAGAGCAGTGGGAAAATCCAGGCTCCATAAGAGTATTGGAGGCCTTTTAAAAAATGTTTGTTATTTTTTTAAATGGGGGCTTTTCATTGTCTCCTGAGCCATTGGAAACAGCGACGCTCCCCACTGCCAGGTGTGTGGGAGCTTACCAGGTCAGGATGTTAAATGATTCTCTAATTGTAGTGAACAATTCATTTTCTAAAGGGCAAGGAAACACAGGGAGCGTGCAGAGATGGATTAGAAGGTGCATTTTTAACCTGAAATGGAGTATTTTTACAGCTAACCAAAGACTACCATTGCCATTAAATGGCAGAGGGATCCAATGCTTATCAGTTATTTGATTTCTAGAAGAAAAATCTGCAAATAAGCCAGGCTGTTCTATCCTGAGGCATGGACAGTGGTCTAACCAGGCTTGCCTTGATGCAGCCTCTTTTTCAGACCTGCTGGTTTCCAAAGAACTGACTTAGAAGGCACTTCTAGGGAGGTGTATATTTGAGGCCTCTCACTGTGTGTGTGTTATGGGCATAAGGATGAGGGCACTGGCAGGTGTGACTTGCTGGACCTAGGAACCAGAGCATTCACAGACACTAAATCTCAAGTCTTTGCAGAGAACCTCTGCTTCTGCCATCTGTCCAGCCTCATCTTCCCATGCCTCTGCAAAGTCTCTTGGATGCTAACTACTGATCAATAGAGGTCTAAAAACCAGTGTCCATTGATTGGTCTCTAAGCAGGATGCTACAGTCAAGCCTCAACCCACATATCCGGCCCAAGGGATGTAAACTTGAACTTATTTTAATAATTTAAAAACCTGGAGCTGTGTCAACTATGTTGCTGGGAGGTCAGCTCTGAACAGATCTGAGGTCTGCATTTAGTGCTTCCAGTGTGGCATTGTTAAATAAGAGTGCCCAAAGTGAAGACATGGGTCAGAATTGTCTGAATTATATATATAAAAAAGAGAAAATTCATAGAAATCGTTCTTCCAGACCAAGGAAGAAGAATTAGGGGGAAGACAAAATTCTCTGAAAAGTTCAAGCCAATTTGACATATTTTAAATGTACCTTTCATGATGTAGTAAGCTAGGTGCACTTAAGAGTTAGTAGGGAGAAATCTTTCACTTTTCAAATATTAGTAGCGTTTCCTCACATAAGGCGTTTATATATTATTTCTTCGTTACTCTGTCTCCAAATTTCAATGAAAATTCCTAGGGATGAGCTATCCACTCTGTATTTGAAGGGGCCCACTGCTTCTCACAGGCAGGCCCCACAGGTCAGACGGACCCAGGTGCTCAGGGGAACAATTGCTCCTTCTCTTGCGGGGAAAGGAAGACCCACATAGTGGAGGTGACTTATTAGAGTTTTTATTAATAAAACCAGCATCCTGAATGGAAATGAAGAAAAAAAAAATAATTGAATAGTTTTCCTAGTGCTCGAAAATAAATAGCAAAGTTAAACTTCTCCTTTTAAAAATAAAGCAACAAACCAACCAAGCAACAAAATGAAAAATAAACGACTGGTCCCCCTTTCATGGATTTGGCCTGAAATGCCCATGGCTCGTGGCTAATGCTCTATTTCTAAACATACTCACGAAGGGCTCACGAGGAAGTGAGCCCATTTAATCACTGAGCAGTACAGCATGTATTGGGTTTATCCTGTGTAGACACACACATTCTTCCTCTCTCCTCAACAGAGGGGACAGATTCCTGCTGATGGATTTGCTAAGTTTTCTCCCAGAATGTATTGAGGCATTTACTGGCTTTGTGGCTTCAATGGCACCACTTCTGAACTCCTACCTTTGTTCCTACCAGTAACCCAGCCTCTGGTTCCATCTCCACACCCCAGAAGACTTTTCCCAAGCCTTAGCTGTCTTGAAGAGGCCAGACATTTCTAATCAGTACAGCTTTTCAGTCAGCAACACATACATCATGAATGTAGAGGTCTGAAGGGGTTTTATGCTTTTTACATTGACTTAAGAGATTAAAAATGAAACCATTATCCATCTAATAAATAAGACATTATCTCCAAGGGTGGCAATAGCTTAGGACAGTCTTCAATGTCATGTGTCCATGGAAGATGTTGGGCTGGTCGAGGGTCTCGTGGTTAGAGGATACAGCTTCTCTTAAAGCTGGGGTCTTCATGTGACATTAAACAGTTTCCCCTCCTTCACTTTCTTCCCCAGTAGGCGGATGATAGAAAACAATAACTACAGAAATCTCCTGTGTTGGGCAGAATTCTGTTGTGGGGAGGTGGCCCATTAAAAAGAAATATGTAGCCCGGAATCCATGGCTGGCAGAAGACAACTGCACACATCTGGACTCAGACACCAACTGATGCACACGCCTCACCTAGGTGAACAGGAGTCCGTCTCTTTGCAGTTCTTTTTTAACCAGTCTTGAAATCGTGGTCCACCGATTTCTTCTCTAGGTCACACTGAATAACCCCAAGCAGACAGAGTTCTCGACAGAGTTTTGAAGGCCCACAAAAGGCTGCACAGGTGATTGTAGGCCAAGTAGGAAGGTCTGTGGCACGTCCAGGCATCTCTGGCAGTGCTGTCCTGAAGAAGCCTTTCTTTATCGATCTGCCACAGTCCACCTGGCCAAACTCCTCTGGACTCGTCAGACCACTGGCAGGAAGGAAAAACGGGTTAGGTACTGTGGGCCACACCCTGGCCATGTTGGGAAAATAAGCTTAGGAAAGAGACTTGGAGATGGCACAGCCAATTGTCACCAAGTTCTCTCGGGGAGTTAGGCCTGAGTCCAAATTCTGCTGGTTCAGTCTTGGGGACCGCAACCTCTGACATTGTGCTTTCAGTGCCAAAGGAAGCTAGAGAGACTGATTGAAAGTGAGTGAGTGAGTGAGTGAGTGGTAGCAGAAGGAAGGCATACGTGGGGGAGCAGGGGGATGCCCCCTGTTGTGAGGGTATCATTTTAATCTGGCCTGCAGCCAGCTTCTGTAAGGGGTGACTTGGTGGGCAGCCCTGGTCCAGGGCTCTGGTGGCAGAAAGGCTTCCCCTGAGGCCATACAAGAATGGACCCATTTATTTTTCAATGGCTGGGCCCTGAGGGTATCCTCTGTATCTGTTGTGGTGAGGCAGCATGGACCATCCTCAGTTCCTGAGTTCAACTTAGTCTGGACATCTTTCTAGGTCCTTGCCATGGTTCCTCTGGAGGTGCTCACAGGTGAGTACCCCTGGTTCACCCATCCTTTAGGCCCAGCAGGCCTGGCAGGTGCTACATG